GGTTTAGACCTGGTTTAGACCTGGTTTAGTCCTGGTTCAGTTCTAGTTTAAACCTGGTTTACCTGGTTTACCTGGTTCAGTTTTCTGGTTTAGACCTGGTTTAGACCTGGTTTAGTAGACCTGGTTTAGTCCTGGTTTAGTTTAGACCTGGTTTAGACCTGGTTTAGTCCTGGTTTAGTCCTGGTTCAGTTCTAGTTTAGACCTGTTTAGTTTTAGTCCTGGTTTAGACCTGGTTTAGTCCTGGTTTCCTGGTTCCTGGTTCTAGTTTCTAGTTTAGACCTGGTTTAGACCTGGTTTAGTCCTGGTTTAGTCCTGGTTCCTGGTTTAGACCTGGTTTAGACCTGGTTTAGTCCCTGGTTTAGTAGACCTGGTTTACCTGGTTTAGACCTGGTTTAGACCTGGGTTTAGACCTGGTTTAGACCTGGTTTCAGTCGTGGTTTAGACCTGGTTTAGTCCTGGTTTAGACCTGGTTTAGACCTGGTTTAGTCCTGGTTTAGACCTGGTTTAGTCCTGGTTTAGACCTGGTTTAGTCCTGGTTTAGTCCTGGTTTAGACCTGGTTTAGTACTGGTTCAGTTCTAGTTTAGACCTGGTTTAGTACTGGTTCAGTTCTGGTTTAGACCTGGTTTAGACCTGGTTTAGTACTGGTTCAGTTCTAGTTTAGACCTGGTTTAGTACTGGTTCAGTTCTGGTTTAGACCTGGTTTAGACCTGGTTTAGTACTGGTTCAGTTCTAGTTTAGACCTGGTTTAGACCTGGTTCAGTCCTGATTTAGTCCTGGTTTAGTCCTGGTTTAGTTCTGTTGGTTAGAGTATCTTAAAGAGCTGTAATAGTCGTGTGATGTTTTGCATTTTAAACATTATAACGTAACAAACTACTTTAAAATGACAGAAACACGTCATAAATAAATAACACATGACAACAGTGATCGTAGGTGGAGTTTGATGAGTCGTGACGATAAACGGATAAAGGCCATTTTCCATTTACGTGAAATTTTGCACCGCAAACGGACTGAACCAGGACTGATCCAGGTCCAGGACCAGACCAGGACTGAGACCAGAACTGAGACCGAGACCAGGCCGGGACCAGACCGGAGGCTCAGAGCCCAGGGCAGGGCCGGAGCTCGAAGCTGAGGCTCAGAGTCCACTCTGGTCCGGTCTGGTCCCTCTGGTCCCGCTCTGGGTCTCTGGTCTCTGGGTCCGCTCTGGTCCCGCTCTGGTCCCGCTCTGGTCCCGCTCTGGTCTCGCTCTGGTCCCGCTCTGGTCTCGCTCTGGTCCCGGTCTGGTCCCAGGCCTGGATCCGTCATGGTTCAGTCCGTACGTGGTGCAAAAGTCCGGCATCACAGTCACGGAAGTCACGTAAACGGAAAACGGCCTTTAACCGTTTTTTCCATTGTTCATTTAAACACAAAATCGAAAACTGAAAAACCGAATCATTATCTTTTTTTTCATTTTGGTTTTGGAGACAAATAATGAAGAAAACTGTTGTTTTTTCATTTTCTTATTTTTGGTTTTAGATTGAAAAACGAATGAACGAATGATACGGGGATGACCACGGGCCGTCCTCATCTCAAGTGTCATCATGAACTCATAAAACAGCAACGTGTAGAACTTTGTACAAACTCACCACATCAGCCCGGAGCAGAAGATCTGAGCTTTACAGCAAACAGCTGTAAAGAGGAGCAGTCACCGCAGCGCAGCTCCTCAGGACGGGGCTGGGGTCTGGTCCTTGGTCTGGTCCTCTGAGCGCGTTGGTCAGATGGTCCAGAGGCTCCGTCCTCCATGTGTTGGTTCTAGACGGGGGCGAGTAAGACCAGTGCTTGATGGACTGGGTCCGAGCCGTTCCGTGTCATCGTCTGCGCGCTGGTTCCGTGCGGGGAAAGTGAGAATGAGCTGTGGACTACAGGTCCGGACGGGCTGCTCCAGTCCTCCACGATCAAGAACTGTGGCTGGTGATGCAGCATCCGGACAGAAGCGTGGGTCCAGTTTGGTTGGTTTTATGTTGTTCTGAGTGTCTGTGCTCAATGCTCTTGGTTGGGGAAAGTTCTTCTCAGGCCGAGGCTCCTGACACCACTCCTCACTCCAGCTCCTCTGACACTGATCTGAACCTGGTTCAGGACTCTGGTTTGGCTCTAGTGCGACTGTATTTCTCACACTAGGCTAAAAGCAGGACATTTTTTTAAATGTTGAATCAATTGAACAGGCTCTTGCCTATTGCCATAAAATTATCTGGTTAATTAAAGCCTAAAATAACAAATGCTGTTGCTACGTGAAGACGGGGAACACCAGGACTTCTCTGAGCGTACAGGTCCTGAACAGACGTACACACCCCCGATTCTGACTCATTCTGCAGCCACACGTTCGCACATTGGTTCTTGTTCTGATCTTCGTGTGTTACATTCTCTGTATTGGCCAGTGAGTGCGTATACATGCACATCAATAACCCGGTTATGATCGGGTTTTTTGAGTATCCCGGTTTCTTGATGGTGCATGTAAACGCAGTA